GTATTAATTATTTTATCGAAATTATTATAAAAGTTTATAGTGTTATCATATTTTTATCGAAATAAATGGATATACAAAATAGATTACATTTAAGATTCTAAAATATTTTCAAATATTAAAAAGACTTTTTACAAAAAATGATTTAGAATTTTAAATGAAATTTAATCAAATATCTTACTTGAGCATTCTCAAAGAAAATAAAAATTCATTTTTCATCACAAATTATATATATGTAACACATTTCTTTTTATAATGATTAATCAACTATTAATCTTCTTAATTAATTGCTTGTCCATATTTAATTTCAATCTTTATTCTATTAAAAATAAAATCTTATTTTGTTTACCCCCTTTCATAGTATATTTAAACATGTGTATCGTTTCACTGTAAGGAGTTAGAAAAGCCAATTATTTGCTATTACCGAAATATCACAATGGCCTGAAAGAAGTATTTCCTCAGAAACAAGAAAATTATTGGATTCAATGCCTATTTTAAATTTTATTTCTCATTAGAATGTATTATTTAGTTATACAACTATTTTAAGTATTACTTTTCAAAAACATGACATTGACTTGATTAAGAAGATGAGAATAGCGGAGAGCATTTTATCAGAACTCAAGGAAATTAGGGCTAATGTTGAAGAGTTTCATATTTTATTGTTGAGTCAAAATCAGAGCTATTTAATATTTGTCTCCCTCGACTTGTAGCAAGGCAAGCTCATCGTTAAAACATTATAGGATAAGTAGAAGAGTATATCTTAAATACAGATACATTTATAACCCAAATAAATGAATTTTTAATTTATCATGCAGCACTTACTTATCTGCAAATATTACTTATACAAAAGCCTTCCCAACCTTTTTCAGATGGTGATAGAAAAAAAAAATTTGTTAGATTTTTATTATGAAGATTTTAAAGTATCTTATGGCCTTACTAGCTGAATAACTATGTTTATAAGATTAACAATGGTTAATATAGTCCCAAAAAATGCTATGGATGCTCTACATTATTTCAAACACATTTTAGATTAAATTCCCAATGTATTAAAAGGGTTTATAAACTCTTCCCATTAGTAAACTAATGAGAGAACATTCTCTTTTTTAAGAAGAATAACAGAGGCCTGCAGAAGTACCATTTGCAGGGCACGGCCCGGATTTTTTTTAAAGATTTTTTACGGCCCGGCCTTGGTTTTTTTTAAAAAGTTTTCAGGCCCGGCCCGGCTTTTTTTAAAAAAATTTTAGGCCCGACTCGGCTTTTTTAAAATAAAATTTTCAGGCCCGGCTTGGGTGTTTTTTTAAAAAAATTTCGGGCCCGGCCCGGGTATATTTAAAAAAATTAATATACTGTCCAGCCCCGGGGCCGGACCTGCAGGTCTCTGAAAAACATACCAAGAAGTACAACATCTGAAAGTAGATTGAAAGGTTGGGAACTTTTGAATATTCATAGGCATTTGACGACAAGCAAGGATGAGATAATTGAAAAATTAGCTCAATCACAACGAAGTTTGGATTTTACATTGTAAATATATAACATATAAAATGCAATTATTCCTAAGAAACTTTTTGTGTAAAGGCTCAAAAAATTCAAATTTCTATTATGGGTCATTTAAGTGATTCTTTACTTATAATTTTTTTATAATTCACATAAATTTAAAATTGTGTATTAGAAATAGTTATTAGTCCTTATAAATTTATCCCCCCCCCAGACCATTATTTTTATTTTGCATTATTAATTTTATTATAAAGGTAGAACTAAGATCTACTCTAAAAATAGATATTATTTGTCGTAACGTAAATTATATATATTGTTTTTTTTTATATAAACTTGATATGTCAATCATTTCAAATTGGCTTATAAATATAGATATTTTTTTTTATGAATAATTTCTTATTATTATTTTTTTTGTAAAAACTGATGAAACCATTTTTTTGATCATTAGTTTATTTTTTCGATATTGAAATTTGTAAAACCAATATTTTGACGGAAATAAAAAGTTACAATTTAATAGTCTACAAATTTAGTATTATTGACGTGTCGGGTTATTAGATTTTGGATTTTCAGTAATTATACTTTTTTCGTATTTTTGATCGTGGCCAGTTTAGTTTTTTTTTTTGCTTTATATTGTTAGCGTTTTTTTCTACTTTTCCTTTTTGATTTTGTTTTCAGTGGTGCTCGTGACGCGGATCGGAAGATTTGGAGTGATTCGGTTTTAAAGGTAAAACAAATTTTTTGTTGATATATATTTTATCTGATAAATTTTTGGCAACGCAGTAGTACTAACACTAAATACGTATTTAATTGGGAATTTTTTTGGGTAATAATATCTATATATTCTTTTTATATAAACATTTTTATTTAATTTAAATTAATTGGGCGGTAATTTTAATTAAAATTTATGAGCAAATGGTTTATTTTTTTAGGCATAGTGGGGAGCATAGTTTTGGGGATAAGGTTCTCTTTTATAAGGATTTAGGTTATAAAGTTTTGTATAAAAACTTTAATGAATTGGATTTAGGTAAGCAGTTGATTACTATTGGGATATTGGTAATGATGTATTTGTTGATTATTATATTGAAATTTTTGGTGAAGAAGTACTGCGGTACTGGTAGAAATGTATGGTAATTTTAAAAAGGACACTGCGGTGTTGGCTGGTTATGTTAAAAGGGCAGACTTGGAAAGTAGTCTAGAAGATGTTTTAGATGAAATCAGGGCTGGGAATGATTTGTAGAGGTTTGGCGAGATTCTCCGGGAAGTGAAGGAGATGAAAGAAGTCATCAATGCGTTAATGAGGTTGAGCTGAAATTCTGGGAAGTGCCTTCAATGTGAACAAAGTAGTAATAATGGTAAAAATGGTTACAAGGAAAATAATGGGGTGTCGGTAAATAAAAAATTTGAGGAAATTATTATTTGCTATCGTTGCGGATGGAGAGGACATAAAATACCTGCGTGGTCCCAGAGCATAGGTTTAAAGATGGATTTCCGTTAAATATATCTGAAATAGGAAATGCTAATATAAAAATGGTTAATTTAAACGGGGCCAGATTATGTTTTACAGAGTTGTTAAAGTAGCGCGCTATCTTTTTTAATAGCTAATAGCCGCTACTTTTTTTTTAATTATTTAATTTTTTAGCGCGCTACTTAGCTACTTTTAAAAAATATAATGAATGTAAGTATAAACATGAAAATTTAAATATAATATCATAATTAATTATAATTTTTATAATTTATTATTTAATTTTGAAATTTAAATATATTTTCAATTTTTAATTTATATTTTCAATCTGAGTTAATAATCTAAAATGGCATCGCCCATGGATATCCAAATCCTTGAAAGTGATTCAGACATGGAAGATTCAATGGAAGAAAATGTACTTAATAGCTCTAATAACGATTTCCCATTCCCTAGATTTGAAAAAATTTTTAAAATAAATATTAAAACAAAATCTGGATTCAAATTCCTGTGCTTAAAATGTAAAAAAAATATATCATCAAATCAATCGAGTAGCTATAACCTGAAGAAACACCTAAAGGTAAATTGTTATTTTTACATTATAATATTATTTATTTTATTAGACTGTTCACGCCAATTGCTATAAGGAAATAGAGAAACATATAAAAAATTTTGGTATAAGAGAATCTTCATTCAAAAAGACAAATACTATCCAAACCAAATTAACTGATAATAAACATGCCAATATTTCACAAAAATTGGCTGATAAAGTAATTGTTGATTTTATTATTGACACAGTTCAGCCATTGTCCTTGGTTGATAATCCATCATTTACTATGATGATTAAAACTTTATCCCCTGGCACAACAGTTTTATGTCGCCAGACACTTATGAATAAAATAGCCGACAACTTCAAAGTGATGAAAGATGCTCTAATAGTAGAGTTATTAGATATATCTTATGTATGTACACCGGCAGATAGTTGGACACATAACAGAAGGTAAAAACTTATTTATATTTATAAATTGATCTGATTAAATATTTTTAGAGCTTCCTTGCCCTCATATGCTAGTGTCGAGAGATTATTTAGTAAAGCAAAGCTTATACTTTCTGATCGTCGCTCTAGACTTGGGGATGATAATATTGAAATGATATTATTATTAAAATGCAACAAATTAAAATAAATATTTATTTATATTGCTTATTTTTTTATAATCTAAACTAACTATATTTTTATATTTATAAATGTTGATTTTTATATATTATTTATTATACATTTACATTATAAGCAAAAAAAAAATAAAAAAAATTTGTTTCATTTGTTTCTATAATTTTTTTTATAAAAAGTAGCTTAAAAGTAGCTAATAGCGCGCTACTTTTTTTGACAAATGGCTATAGCGGTAGCGCGCTACTTTTAAAAATAGCGTTTAACAACTCTGATGTTTTAAATGTATAAGGCCGGGACATGTGGCTGTTTACTGCATGGAAGTATCTCAAAATTCGTGTTGACTATATGATTGCAAGGTAAATCATATAGGAATCGGGGCTCCGAGAGGTCGGAAAAATTTGTATAATAAAACATTTAATATTGTTGGTCGAGATAATGGGAATGATAGAATAAAAATAAGAAGTCATTCTCGTAATTTCCCTGAGAGGGGGGTTAGTCGATTTAAGTGGGAACAATATCCGAGAAATATTGTCCGTTATTCTTTTAGAAATGATGTTAGGAATTTTATTTGGGAAAGATGTCCCACAAATCTTGTTAAAAGAAAGGTAATTGTCAGTAATAAGCCTTTAAATTCCGAGTTGAATTTAGAGGGCAATGTGAATGCCAATTAAATTATTATTTCAGATAAAATAAAAGCTGATTTTCCGATTAAAACATATGATATTTTAATGACGGAAAGATTAGATGGACCATGTATGTGTCCGAGGGTTAGTTTGAAAATTGACCATAGGAATATAGTAATGCTATTTGACACCGGGGCTAGTATTTCTCTAATGTCGCATTTATAAGTATTGGCCTGGGGGTAAACTGGAAAAAGAGGCTATGTGCGTCAGGCAATTTGATGGGTCGGAAGTTGCCGGGTTGGGAAGAGCCAAATTGGGAGTTAATCTTATTGATGTAATATTCTTCCTGGATTTATGGGTGGTGAAGGAAAACGTGGAGACCATTATGTTTATGGGTTGGGATTGGATTACGTAGCTGGGTCCTCGTAATAATTATTGGAATGTTCTTAACATTAATAGTTATGTAATAGGTGATGTTGAACGAGAAGAAATTTCAGAAAATTCTGATAACAAAATTGGTGAAATTTCGGAAGAAGTAATGGATAGATCAAGTGAATCAAGGATTAATGTGGATAATAATGAGGATTAAATTATAGCCGGGGGAATAAATGAATGGGATACCGTGAAGAGTGCTATTGCCATTTTAGTTAGACAATATGGTATAATTTTTGAAGAAAAATTGGGATGCTTAAATGATTATCAGGTGGATGTTCAACTTAGAGAGGGTTTTTCGCCGATTTTTTTGGCTTGTAGGAGGGTTCCTTTTGAATGGAAAAAGGAAATTGACGAGGAATTGAGAGATGGGTAGAAGATGGTATCATCATTCCGGTGGAATATAGTGATTGGGCTACTCCTTCGGTTCCGGTTAAAAAATCAAATGGTAAATTGAGGCTCTGCGCTGATTTCAGGGTAATGGTAAATCGATGGATAGTGGAGGTAAAATATCCGTTGCCTCGGATTGAAGAGATTTTGGCTCAGTTAAAGGGGGCTAAATATTTTTCAAAAGTTGATTTTTCTTCAGCGTATTTACAGTTACCATTGAAGGAAAAAAATCGTAAATTATTGACGATAACGACGCCAAAGGGGTTATTTGCTTTTTGTAGATTACCATTTGGGTTGAGTGTATCGGCGTCGATTTTTCAACGGACCATGGCGTTAGTTTTTCAAGGATTGGAAGGGGTATTTTATTATATGAGGCGTGACGCTGGAGCAGCATAATCAACGTTTGGAGAAAGTTTATAGGAGAATTCGTGACAAAGGCTTGAAAGCCAGTAATGAGAAAAGCGTTCTGGGGTAATGGAGGTTGAGTATTTGGGTCATCGAATTAATGGAATTGAGGTGAAACCCTTGGATAAAGATTTGAGAAATATATCGAACATGAAACGGCCTAACAATAAGGCTGAGTTGCAGTCTTTTTGGTCAATTATTACCGGTTCGTGGAAGATTTTGCAAAGGTCGCGGCGCCGTTATATGATTTATTGAAAAAAGGAATTAATTTTGAGTGGAAGGATGTACAGCAAATTGCGTTTGAAATTTTAAAGGAAAAAATTGGAAAGGAGCCGGTTTTGGTATGTTTTGATAATGAATTGGAAAATGTTTTGGCGGTGGATGCTTCAAATAAAGGAGTTGGTGGGGCGTTATTACAGGTAATAGAGGGCTTGGAGAGACCCGTGTTGTTTTTCTCGCGTGTTTTTCGTGAGGTGGAGACCAGGTATTCTGTGATTGAACAGGAGGCCCTGGCAGTGATGTTCGGTTTGACAAAATGCCGTGAGTATTTGATTGGTAAAAGATTTGTAGTTTTTACTGATCACAAACCGTTAATCCACTTATTCCGGAAGGACAATCGGGAGTTAATGATGTCTCCCCGGTTACAACGTTGGTTGTTGTTGGTGGGCAGCTTTAACGTGGAGATCCGATATCGTCGGGGTAGAGAGAATTGTTTGCCTGATATTTTGTCCCGATTAGGATTAAATGAAAGAAATGACGAAGGGAATAAGGATAATGTTCGGGACAATGAGAAAGCATTGGTGTGTTTGCTTTCGCATATGCTCCGAGGAGGTCCTACCAACTGGGAAGAACTTAAAGTCAGTACTTTAAAAGATAAAGAGCTGAGTCAAATAAAATTATATTTAACGGGGAAAAAACCGTGGGAAAATAATGGTAAAAATTTTAAGAAAATTGAAAAGGATGATTGTGTAATTAGGGCGAATAGAGAGGCAATTCCTTATAAATTACGTGGCAAAATTTTTAATTTATTACATGCGGGGCATCAAGGTCGGGAAAGGATGAAATCTTGAGCGAGGGAGTATGTTTGGTGGCCAGGTATGGGCAATGATATTGAAAAAATTACAAGGAAATGCGTTCCTTGTAATAGTTCCTTGTAATACGTGTGCAGCTATGCCCCGTAAGGAGATAGGTCAGGTTTGGCCCCGGGCAAAGAAACCTTGGGAGCGTCTTCACATAGATTTCTTTGATCTGGATAAAAGGGCGTATTTTTTATTGGTTGATTCGTATTCTAAATGGGTGGAATACACCGAGTTTAATGGGTATACCACCAGAATAGTGATTAGGAAATTACGGGAATTGTGCGCCCGATTCGGTTTGCCAGATACCATTGTTTCTGACGGGGGGCCAGCATTCGTGAGCGATAAATTCAAACAGTTTTGTGTGGAGTCACAGACTCGGCATATTTTGACGCCGCCTTATCATCCCAGCTCGAATGGGCAGGCTGAGAGAATGGTAGCCGTCGTGAAGAATTGGCTAAGGAAATCAGTAAATTATAAGGATGGATACTTAGCTCAGTTGTATTATCTTAACTCGCGAAATCGGGAGGGAATGAGCCCTACGGAATTATTCCTGGGTCGGAGGACTAAGTTGCCGTTGGATTTTTTAAAAATAAAGGACAAAGGAAATATAGTTCTGGAAGACCCGAAATTTAAATTCGGTGTTGGGGAAAATGTATGACCCGCCTGTTTGATGGGAGGGGCAGAAAATGGGTCAAGGGCATTGTCAGTGAAAATAAAGGCTCGAAGTTGAGTTTGGTTCAGTTGGAAATGGGCGGCACGGTGATGCGCCATAATGATCATGTCCGACTTAGAGGGTAGTTTGGAGGGAATGTAAAGTAGAATTTAGATATGTATAATGTTTAAAAAAAATGATGAAAATGGGAGGTTCAACCCGAAGGTTTAGGCTCATCTTAGAGCAGTGGTAAAATATATTTATGCAAAAATAAAGCATAAACGGGAATTAGAATGTACGTGAACTGTTGATATTTTTTTGTTTTGGTGCATTCATTATTACACGATAGTAGTGAGATGTATTGATAAAATGCAAGTTTATTGGTTAATGTATTATTACACGATGGTAGTGAGAGGTATTGATAAAATGCAAAGTCATTGATGTTAATTCTTTCATGTTTGTAATGGAAAAATTGGTATACCAGTTGTTTGTAATAAATAAATTTTAACTTTATGGTGGAAATCGTTTGGTAAAAAGGAGATAAGAATTTTCTGGTATGTAATGGAAAATTAGGGTTATAAAAAACATGCTTATTTTTGGTTTATGTTTTATATATGGTAGTATGGAAAGAAAAGTATTACGGCTGTGGTACATAAATAAAATTTAAAGGAAAAAGTGGAATGAACGGTAAAATGCTAATTGTAAAAGGGAGATAAAAACGTTATTTTTGTGTAAGTTTTTATGTGTTATAAGATGAGAAATAATGATTTTCTTGTGGTTGGCACGTGCGGTATGTTTGATTTTTTTTAAATTTTTTTCCCCCTTGTTTTTTTTCTTCCCTACTTTATATTATAATGGTTCATGTATTCTCGGCCAGGCCATAAAAGGGAATGTGAAATGTTGTTGTTAAAACAAAATGAAAAGGGAAGGATGGTAGAATGATGCCTGGTTGATTGTAATTTAAAATTTTTTTTTATAAAATATAATTAATAAAAGTGTAATTTTTTTTATAAGTTCCCCAAATTTGTAATATGAAAATTGTATTAAAAGAAAAAACCAGTTTAATTATTTTTTTTTTTAAATTCCCCAAAATTCTAATTTGAAAATTATATGAAAAAATTTGTACTGAATTTATTCCGTCTCCAACACGAAAAAGATTTTGCTTGTATTGAATTTATTCCTTTTCCAATCACGAAAAAAAAAAGGAATTTCGCGTAGTATCAAGTATCCAAATTAACAAACCACAATCCCCAATGACCATCGATACCCCTGATGATCCATAATGACATACATAGGACGTATATGTAAACAAATAGAGATCAAATCCCTTTACGCTATGGCCATGTTATTCAGTGGGGCTACATTTCTCTGCGTCGCCGCTTTTCACATCTTGCCAGAACAGGCTTTTTGAAACATTCGCCTCATAATAATAACGTCAATCATTATTCCAAAACTCCACGAAGGAACACAGTACCATCATTGATTAGTCAATGAACATTCTTTATTACGAATGGATATCGCAAACGAAAAAAATCGAAGTGGAAAACGAAGCAGATGATTTGACAAAGATTTTATTATCACAGAAAAAACAACTTAATGTTAATGTTTAAAATAATATTAATGACGATTCTGAAATTGGATGCTTTAGGAAATATCTATTGTTCCTTTCGGGTTTGGTGTTTCCCATAGTTATATCCACTATCACAATGGATCATTCCCATTGAAATTAGCTATTTTTTTGAAATATTTAAGGTAATCATGATATTATTGAATTAATCAAATAAAATCGAAGGACTTTATAAAATTTTACTAATCTGTTATAGCAATATGGTAAAAAATAAAATGCTCAATGTCCAATGAGATTAAAAAAATAATAATCGGATTTTTACAGAACCTTTTAATATACGGTCACAAATTAATTGATCATGCAACACCGTTATATATCGACCATTTTTTTTAACAAAAATATATATACATATACATTTTTTTTGTATACATGCCATTGGCCCATAAAGGGGTGGCACTTTTGAAAAAAATAAATAATATAATGCCCTTTACTCTCAAACCTTCACTCTCAAAAATATAACTTAACAATCCAAACAATCCTTTCTTAATAATTAAATAAATACCAACAGTAAACATTACCAAAGGACAAACACATTGTTTAATTTCATGTTATACCATATTTTATTTATGTTTACATTCAAATAATTATAAAGGTTTCATATTCATAAAAATAGTTGAATCTCCTCCATTCTTTGTTCTTCCCAGCTGGCATCTTCTCCTCTCCCATTCTCCCTTCTTCCCCCAAGGAAAATTAATTGTTCATGTCATAAAATGTCTGACATTCAGTATATTATATTAAATTTATTTCTTCTTTTTTTGAGCGGCTACAACATTATTAAGATTCTTTATGTCTTAAATTGATAATCAAAAATTAATGTAAAGAAAAGGAGATTTTTTAGAAAAAAAAAATTCAATTAAAGTAATTTTGAATAAAGTTAATAAATCATTTAAAAAGATGGGTAGATAGCTACCTCAATTATGACATTTTTTTAAAGCCTATATCCTCAATTTCTTTATCTAAAAATATTAATTTTAGAGATAACTTGCAAAATTATTTATAAATAATAATATACCTTTTAAAACTGTTAATACAAAAGATTTTATAAGTGATCTTGATTGTTCTGTAAAATCAATATGCTCCAATACTCTTAAATAGCATATGTATAATACATTTACAGAAAAAGAAGAGTTGGTAAAGAATAATATCCAAAAATAAAACTCAGATTAATTTTTCTAGGTTCCTTTTTTAGGGCTAATAGCCCACATTTTATTGATGATTATTTTAAAGTAAATAACATAATTTTGAATATCGCTCCAATAAATGAAGCACATTCAAGTGAAAATATATTTAAAGCCTTTGTTAAAATAATATTATAATTTGGAGAAAAAATTTATTATAACTTTAGATAATGCAATAAAACATATATTGATATTTTCTTTAAAATATCCATAAAAAAAATAGGGCACATCTGATGCTTTGCCCATGTAATTAATTTATCCAAAAAAATTTCAAAAATTTTAGATCCTTCTATTTTAAAACTCTCCCAGAAAGTTAAATTTATTAAAAAATATTCTCCCCTAAATTTTTTAAAACCAAAATTGGATTGTGAAATAAGGTGGAATAGCTCCTACCATAGGCGTAGCCAGGATTTTCCTAAGGGGGGGGGATTAAAAAATTTATAGGGGCTTCGCTTCCAGAGCCCATATTGGCCGGGCCTTTGGCCCGCTTTTGTCCGTTCTTCGGCAGAGTTTTATTAGTCTATATTATAGTCATAAAATATTTTTACAAATTAGGAAGTTAATTTTAATAAAAAAAAATTAATATTATCATTATTTAAAATAGAATAAATTGGTTAAGAGATTATATCAAAAAATAAGCCTGGAACATATAGGAAATATATTTTTTATTAGTTTAGGCAAAATATTTTTTTTATTAGTTTATATAAAATATATTTTCACTATTAGTTTATATAAAATATAATAAATTATATAATATAAAAACGTGTTAATAATATTCCAAACAAGTATAAGAAATTTTTTTATAAAAGGTAAATAGACATATAGTTGATATTCCTCTATTATATAGAATTGGTTACAAAATATTAGGTAAAATGCCACTTTTACACACATATTTGGCAGTTATAGAATATATTACAGTTAATATTTTAATAAACTTTACTAATCAATGTTTTTGATAATAAATATAAGCAACAATTTGCATTCAATTTTTTAACGCTATCTATTTATTTTACATAAAAATATGATATTAAAAATTAATCATCATATTATTCATCCCACACGCTACTGAAATAAAAAATTATTTTTTACATGTACATTCTTTAAAAGATATTTTCTTATGTCCTTATCAATATTTTATAGTCTTCTGAAAAATATATAATTCACTATTGGTAAAAATTATTTGATTTTCATACGATAATAGATAAAATTTGATACACTGTAAATCTACGACACATAATATTCCAATGTTTGTATTGTGCATTAATTTTTTTTATTTAATTTATAATTTAATATTTATATTTTACTTTTATTAAGATAAATAAATTAAAATTACTCACTCTATAAAAAATTATATTTGATAAATTATATTATGTAATTTTATGGATCTAATAATAGTAATCATAATACATTTCACTTTTGTCTTAAGACTAATCTTTGGCTTATATTTCATTTTTTAAAAAACATTTTTGGTTTAACTTTTTTTATATATAAATGCTTTTTTTCCAAAAAAAGTATGAATTATATAGGTTTAGTT